CATTGTTATGTGTATAACTTCAGTGGTGTTATCAATGTTGTTGTAAATATTTACTATGTTTTTCTATTTAGCTTAATTCCAACAGTTTTGTAATTAAATAAAATATACACATTGCAACCCAGTGTCTTTTTTGTTGTTTTCGTTTTCCTGTACTACACCCTTTCTCTACTCAAAATATAGCTCTCTTCACTTCCTATTTAATTATATTCAATCATTCAGTGGTAAGTTTAAGAGATGATGACCATGACATAATTGGGGCCAGGCATATTCTGGAACATCACAAAATGGACGACTGGTGTGGTACCGTAGGATCAGCACTGGACTGCAAACCACAAAGTTGGCAGTTCAAACCCAACAGCTGCTCCCTGGAAACCCTATACAGTCGCTGTGAGTCAGAACCAACTCAACAGCACTTAACAATAGCAGCATGTAATGGAATCACAGTTGTTAAGTACTGTCATGTCTGTGCCAACTTGCACAGCAGAAGAAAGCCCACCTGGTCCTGCGCTGTCCTCACAATCCTTGAGCCCACTGTTGTAGGCATTATGTCAGTCCATCTCATCAAGAGTCTTCCTCTTTTTCACAGACCCTCCTCCAGTGACTGGTCCCTCCTAATGACACGCCCAAAGTATGTGAGATGAAGCCTTGCTAGCCTCACTTCTAAGGAGCTTTCTCTTCTGGAAATCTATGGTATATTCAAACATTCATCTCCCAACATCATTATTCAAATACACCAGCCTTTCTCTGGGCTTCCTTACACAGTGTCCTGCTTTCACATGTGTATGTTGTTAAGTGCTGTTGAGTTGATTGCAACCCCGTATAGGGTTTCCAAGGAGCAGCTGGTGAGCTTGAACCGCCACCTTGCAGTTCAAACGGCTCTGCAGTCTGGCGCATTAACCCACAGCGCCACACCAGGGCTCCCACATGTGTATGAGGTGACTGAAAATACCTTGGCTTGTGTCTGGTGCACTTAAGTCCTCAAAGTGACATTTTAACACTTTAAAGCAGCCTTTTGTAGCAGATTGACCCAGTGTAATACATCTGATTGTTGACTGCTACTTCCGTGGGAATCCCAAGTCAAATACAATTCTTGACAACTTCAAGATTTTCTGTTTTTCATAATGTAAGGATTTTTGTTTATGTTGATCAGTCCATACTGAAGGTATAATACAGTTAAGTGCTGTTGAGTAGATTCTGAGCTGTAAATCTTTGCGAGCAGAAAGCCTCGACTTTCTCCACTATGATAACAGGTATTTTATGTTTCTCTGACTTCCTTTGTTAAGCAGAATATCTTACTGATGAATATTATTCCACTGTATGGATTTTTTTATTCACCTGCTGTCAGACATTCAGATTGTTTCCATGTTGGGCCTACTAGGGAAAAAGCTGCTATGAATATTTGAGCTCAACTCAGATGGACATTTTTTTTCCCCCATCTCTCTCCCTGGTAAGCATAGTGGTTTATGAGTTAGGTCACTAATAGCAGTCAGCAGTTCAAATCTACCAGCTGCTCCACAGAAGAAAGATGAGGCTTTCTGCTCCCATAAAGATTTACAGCCTCAGAAACCCTATACAAGGTAGCTATGGTTAGAATCAACAACGGCACATCACCACCATTTTTCCTATAAATAGTGGAATTTTCCTGTAAATAGTGGAGTGGAATTTTGGGCCATCCATATGCTAAATGTTTAGTTGTAAGAAAGTGACAAACCATTTTCCAAAGCAATTATATTATTTCATAGTCTTATATTTTCCTCAGTATTTTCAGGAATCAGATTTGGTTTTCTTTAGAATGGGACTGGATCTTCACAGCATCAAAAGTAAATGCCATTTTAGCAGGAGTAAAGGAAACCCAGTTCTTAAGTAATGTTTTCTGTCCCCAGTAACTGTCCAGGCCTGGCCCCAGGACTTACTGTATTCCTAGAGAAAGTTGCTATGGTCTGCAGCAGGTCATCTGATCCTAGAATGCAGGAAGGGACTAAGAATCAACTGTCAGGTAGGGTGACTAGGAAAATATCAGGAGACATTTCAGTAAACACAAAAATATTAGAGGTCATGGGAGACAGAAGCTTCTGTTGTGTCTCAATTAAGTCACTAGTGTTAACAAACATCCTGGGTACAAACATGTATGTGCCTACATGTATGTGTATGTCCAGGTGAAAGGGTGAGGTGTCTGGGACAGAGTCTGGATGTGAACCAGGCAAGACAGGCATCAGTCCAGCCCCAGGTTCAAGTATGTGTGCCTGCCAGCTCTGTACAACATCAACAACACCCTCTGCCCACTGCTATCATGGAAGGAGGATGGGCCCCAGAGATTGTAGAGTCTCCTGAGCCTGGCCCTGTGGCAGCAGGGCCTAGAGACAGCAAAGAACGACCACAGGTTCTCCACCCTTCACCTGCTCTAGCCGATCACCTCCCTTTCCAGTCCCACAGCCAGGCAGGAGCCTGATGGGGTTTTTCCAGGCTGTGCCATTGGCCTGACCCAGCAAGGGCCATACAGATGGGGTGGGGAGGGGACCGTCCCTGAGCCCCCACCCCACATCCTGTTTTGGGAATATGGGTCCTAGCACATGCTCTTTCCTTTGGACTTTGTCCAGGGTAGTATCCACTCCACCCCCTCCAGACTTACCCACAAGGGAACAGTGCACAAGGCTGGGGAGTCTCCGGCACACCCCAGGGTTTAATCTAGTGTTTTCAGGCTGGGCTGGACTAGAGTGCCTGAAAGCAGGGTAGGGGGTCCATGCAGCTCTCCACCCTCTACACACACCCATGGCTGAGAGGACAGGTCACCAAGAGGCCAACCAACCTCCAGCATGGGCTCTGAAATCAGTCCAGTGGCTATATGACAGTGAATATGTGGCTTCGATTCTGAGACTCAGTTTCCCCAGCTGAGGGTAGTTGAGAAAATTAAGTAAGCTAATCAACACAGAGCCTGGCCCAGAGTAGCTGCACAGGTGAGGGAGGGCAACTGGTCCAGTTGGGCAGGCTCCTAGACAGGGGGAGAGGGCAAATTCTAGTGCCCTCAGTTACCCTGCACTCCTCTCCCCTCCATGGGACAGATGGGAGGGTTGTGAGGGAAGGCTCCATTCAGCATCTGGAAGAGTAGGGGAGCCTTTCTCACAAATTACTTTTACCTTCTCTCAAATTACTTGTCACATTATAAAATAACTATTCTGTAGCCTGGTGTGGACTGCTAACCGCAAGGTCCGTGACTCAAACCCACCAGCCACTCCTTGGAAACCCTATACAGGGTCGGAACCAACTTGAAGGCACTTAACAACAACAGTAAATTTAGAAATTACCAGAAAAGCAAGAAAATAACAAAAGTTTTCATTTGACTACCAAAGCCAGCCACTCTTGATACCTTCATGTTTTTCCATATGGAATCTTTTCTGGGCGTGACTTTTTTTGTTCTTTGTCCATGGCTGGGTGGGACGGTCTCTGGGTGGCATGAATAGTTTGCCCTTGATTATTAACCTAAAGGTTGGTGGCTCAAACCCACCCAAGGGCACCTCAAACGAAAGGCCTGACGACCTACTTCTGTAAAGACAATAGTCAAAATCATGGAAGTTACTCTGTAAAACGTGGGGTCGCCATGGGTCAGAACCCACTCACTGATAATGGGTTTGCTTCTTAGTTTGAGACTTTAGCAACAAGACTTTGAGTTAGAAGGAAACCTGAGGATTAGCTGGACCAAAGGAGGAGACTGGCCCAGAAGAGCTAAGGTCAAGGTCAAGTTAAGAGCTTATTAGATGTTTTAAAATAACAATGTCCCCAGTACCAGCACACAGCACCTAAAGTTCCTTCAATTCTGAGAACCACCTTTAGAAAAAGATAGTGGGTTAATAGAGAATCTAGGCTTTCCAGATTGGGGGGAATCTGTTAGAAAAGGGCTTTCATGAAGGCTCTGATTCTCCCATTAAGGAGTGTGACTCTGGTTAACCCCATCCCCCCACTTCCAAATGGAGACAGTTATAAGGTGCGTGAGGGATGGGCAGAGGGAGGGCTGGCAAAGGCCAGCAAGAGGTGTGGTCCTGAATCTGTTCCCAAGGGTGGAGCCAGCCAGCAGGGTCGCCCTGTCCCTTTAAGAGAAGGAGGAGAGTTAGCCCCTCTCTGCTATCCTGTCCTGTCATCCCGGCCAAATCAGAAAAGGAAAATGAAAGAGGGACCAGGGGAATCAGGTCCCAACCATCTCCTGAGTTCCAGCGCTCAACTCTGACGCTCTAGCCACAACCACAGGGTGAGTTCAGTTGGGTGAGGGCCCCGGGGACAGCTGGGGCCTGTGGGAACCTGTGTGTGGGAGAGACTGGAAGACAGTGTGGGAGCTGGAGGGGCTTCAGGGAGGAGATGGAGAGGGCTGGGCCCACATTCCCACCATGCTGGGCTGGAGTAGCTGGGGTCCCTAGGACTAAGAATCATCGTATTGGACTTCTAGAACTAAGGGCTACATTTGTGTCAGGTCCCCCAATCCTAAATAGAAAGGACAAGAGAAATGCTGGGTGGGGAAAGAAAGAGGTGGAGTCCATGTGGAGTTACTCAAAGTGGGCTCTGGAGGCCTGGGCTGGGAACAGCATCCTGGAGTATCTAACACTATAACACCCCAGGTGTCTGCTTCCACAAACAAAAGTCGAGGGGCTGCAGTCTATGGGGTTCTTTCCTACAACTCTGGAATCTAGAGGATCCGGGGTCTAAACTAAGAAGGTCCATGGGATTCTGGCTAAATATCCATGATGGGGTTCCTCGCCAGCACCAACTGGCCCTAAAGAGACAGGAACTCACGTTTCAGAATTACTGCTATACTCAGGGCCTCCCCTCCCCATGCCTTCTCCAACATTAACTCATTTGCACCCACAAAAACCCTGCTAGTCCCCAGCCTATCTGACCTCCCGACTCACCCTGAAGTTACCGAGGTCTAGCGAACTCCACCCCGATGGGTGGGGACGGGGGGAGTCCCTGATCAGTCCTGGCCCCTGACCTACTGGCCGTTAGTCCACAGCGCCATGGGAGAATGGGCGTTCCTGGGCTCTCTGCTGGACGCGGTGCAGCTGCAGTCGCCGCTCGTGGGCCGCCTGTGGCTGGTGGTCATGCTGATCTTCCGCATCCTGGTGCTGGCTACTGTGGGCGGCGCAGTGTTCGAGGACGAACAGGAGGAGTTTGTGTGCAACACGCTGCAGCCAGGCTGCCGCCAGACCTGCTACGACCGCGCCTTCCCTGTCTCCCACTACCGCTTCTGGCTCTTCCACATCCTGCTACTCTCAGCACCTCCCGTGCTATTTGTCATCTATTCCATGCACCAGGCCAGCAAAGAGCCGGGCGGGACGGAAGCAGGCGGAGGGGGCACGAAGGCTGGGCCGCCGTGCGCTCTGCGCGCCCACCGCGCGCGCCGCTGCTACCTGCTCAGCGTGGTGCTGCGCCTGCTGGCCGAGCTGGGGTTCCTGGCCGGCCAGACGCTGCTCTACGGTTTCCGCGTGGCCCCGCACTTTGCGTGCGCCGGCCCGCCCTGCCCGCACACAGTGGATTGCTTCGTCAGCAGGCCCACGGAGAAGACCGTCTTCGTAGTCTTCTACTTCGCCGTGGGTCTGCTCTCAGCTATGCTCAGCGTGGCCGAGCTGGGCCACCTACTCTGGAAGGGCCGCCCGCGCCCCCAGGGTTCCGGACGCGCGCGACAAGCGGCCGAACGCGACAACCGCTGCAACCGCGCGCACGAGGAGGTGCAGAAGCTGCTCCCGCCGCCGCTGACGCCAGCCCTACCTGGCGGGCGGCCTGGCCCAGACTCCTACGCCCCCCCAGCTTACGCGCACCGGGTGCCGACAGACAGCGAGGGCAGCAGCGGCCGCAGCAAGGCATCTCTGGCCACCGTCCGCCAGGGCCTGGCCATCTAGCGGCAGGCACTGCCTCAGGCGGAGGGTGAGACCAAAGGCAGGACTCAGAAACAAGAAATGACCTCCTGAGAAGTGTCCCCAGAGACCCACAGGGCAGCCTCCGCCGTCCTGGCTGCTCTCAGCCGTACTGCCAATCTGGGGGCTGAGAATGAACCAAGGCTGTCCCTTGGGGCCATGACCTGTGTGGAAAGGAAATGGGAGGGCCTGAGAGAAGAGTGGAAAGTGAAGGGACCCGGATTATTTTACTGGGAACCAAAACTGGGATATACTACTAGCTGTCTAGGAACATCTCCTTGTTCAGGCTGAGGTGTGGCCTGTGAGGGCTCTTTGTGTGCACACATGTACATCCCATGTGCTGTATGCACACACGTGCATACATGTGCCCTGTATGGGATCTGTGTCCATACATATAAATACCTTGTAGGAGCTATGTGTTGTCTGTGTGTGCTGTACTTGCACGTTTGAGCTCTGTGTCATCTGATATGTCCTTGTGTGGGTGGCCAGGATCCTATGCCAACAGCAGCTGAAATGACTCCACACTTACTGCCCAAACCCAACCCATCTGTGAGGACATCTCAGGAAGGGCCTCCCCTCCCATGTGCACCCACTGAGGAATTGAGGTGGCACCACCCCACTCCCTAGCCGCTGGACAGACCTGACTCTGGTCAGACTTATGAGCACCATCCACTCCCACCTTGTGGACTGAGAAGGTAGCTGGGTCCCTCCCTTTTTATGAAGGTGACCAAGGGTGGGTAGTGGGGTCAGAGGGCAGGACAGTTGAGTGTTGTCCTTCCTCTTGGCCATATTTACCCTCCCTGCCTGCCTGCTGTCCCCTCCAAGTCTGTAAAACTCCCACAACATGAACCACATACTTGGCCCTGCCTCTCCCTTCAGCTACATTTCTCTTTCCTCCGAAGCATCCAAAGAGCTTCCTAACTCTCCTCCACTCTATTCCTCTTTCTCCTTCACTGCCCTAATGGGGTTGCTCCACTACCAAAATGACACATCCAGGGACTCTGCTCAGCCACTGCCTGCCTTGCACCTCTAGAGCTTCACCAGGCAGACCCCGCTGACCACATGCTGAGAAGCCCCTGACTGCCATGGCCCGAGTGCCCCCTACATTTTCTCTACATCCCTGGCTGTTCCCTCTCTGTCCTCCTTTCAAGACCCTGTTTTCCTCAGCTTTCCTACCTGTGCTCCACACAGCAGTGAACTTCTAACTATGCCTCCTCCTCAGGTCCTGGGGGACTGCCCTGCCCTCAGGGTAAATGCATGAGTTAAACAACAAAAGGTTCCTGGGCAACTGCACCGTCTTCAAGACCTTAGTATACTATTGAGTCCATCATTGTGCCTACTGTATCCATCCACCTCAGTGAGGGTTACTTTTGCTAGCCATCTACCAAACACGATGGATGTGCTTTTCTAACAACTTTCTTGATGATATATCCAAAGTAAGAGAACTGAAGTCTTGCCATCCTAAGGAACACTCTGGTTGTAGAAAAAAATACAAAAAATATTCTTTACCTGGCCCAAAACATCAGTGCTGGAGTTGAGGAACTGTGCTCTACAGCAATGAATTGCTGAACATCAAAGACAACCTCAAGTCCAGAGGTTCCCCACAGCCATGGCACCATTCCCAGGTGGCCCTTTGTAAATATGCCTACTTACGCCTTCTGGGGTCCCCTTGACTTCAGAACAAGTCCATGAGCTCACTCCAACTCATGGTGACCTTATGTAGCAACAGAAGCCAAGTGATGGGGATTCACTGGCATTTAGTGGGCAGCGGCTAGGAATGCCAAGATGGTCTCTCAAATTCAAGATTTGTCAGGATGACTTTGGAATGTCCCACTGGGCACTCACAGCAGAAACCTCTTTGTAATTACCTGCAGCCCAATCCTGATTCCATTTTACATGTAAAAACATCAAGGTTATGATTTGGGGGGCATGGTTTTATTATAAATTGTTGTTAAGTGCCATCGATTCAGTTCCAACCCATAGTGACCCTGTATAGGGTTTCTGAGGAGCAGCTGGTGAGCTTGAACTGCCGACCTTGCAGTTCAGAAGTCTTTGCAGTCTGGCGCATTAACCCTCAGCGCGCCACACCAGGGCTCTTTATTATACACTGGATGTGCCTATTTCAGCACCCACCCATACCTCTGCTCAATTTTTATGAACTTCTTGGACAGAACAGCTTCTGATCTTCATTTTTTAAACCCAAATGTATTCATTAAACATCAAGATGGGCCTGTGACATCATCATCGTATCTGCCAAGCATTTACATGTTGAAATACATTATCAATTACTTTCCCTAAATCTCTCCTTCCAAATAGTGTGATTGTATACTGGCTTTTGAGAGCACATGTGTAGGAAGGTTATATTAGAATGTCAATTCAGATTGGCAACGTGAAAACCTTAACTCTAACACACAGAGTCACAAGAAGTTAAGAACTGACTGATGGCAACCAGCACAAAACAGAGGAAGATGTTCAGAGAGAGCCTGTCTCTGGGACAGATGAAGACAGAACAAAAGTGAGGAGCTGTCGCCACCTGGTGGCGAAATAGAAAGATTGGCAGCCCTGTTCCCTTCACCTCCTTCCCAGATACCCTGATCTGTGCTTGAGGCTTCTCCTTCAGGGGCTTCAGGGATCCAGGAAAGAGTCCTCGACTGAGAAGTGGAAGTCCAGGGCACTGGTCTCAGATCAGCTACAGATTTGCTGTGTGATCCTAGACAAGGGCACTGCCTTCTCTGGTCTTAAGGTGGTGTGAGAAGCTAGGAAAACATGACCTGAGGGCCCTTCAAGTCTCCCACACTCCTTCCTTTTGACCAGGAGCATCTGAATCCCCCTATGTCCTGCCCTCTGCTGCCTGCCCACAGGGTGGCCTTGCATAGGTACAGTCCTCCTAGAGGCAAAATGGATGGGCCATCTCTTGCTTCCTTCCTAATCAATCCTCTGGACCCAGCCAGCCCCCACGACTATCTTGAAAGTCTGAGGTCACTCCCAAAACAGAATTCCTCTGCCACAGTGACACACAGACCCAACCTCCGTTTTCCCAAGTTAGGGGTTCTCTGAGGGTAGAAGGTGGCTGCCCCCACCTCGATGGAAGCTCCCAGAGGGCCATCTCTCCTCTCCTGCCCCCAGACTGGGCTGTCAGGAACCCAAATCCAAGCACTTCATTGGCAGACCTGCCTCCTTCCACAGGACCTCCAAAGACCCCAGGGACCCCAGCTCAGGAAGGCAGGCCCAGAGAGTAGCTTGGGATGCACTTGCCAAATGCTCCGCCCCTAGTGCCCATACCATCAATGCCCCAGAGCCCATTGGAAAGGCCCCCATCCCTCGCCCCCTGCCCAGACGCCGAGAGAAGGGGCGGAGGCAGCGAGGCTCGGAGGCGCGTGTAGAATAAATATAACTTTATCCAGTAGATCTCAGCGGAAAGGCCAGCAGTAACAGGTGCACCAGCGGGCTCCGGGTGGAGGGGGGGTGGGGGAGAGGGGAGAGACCCCAACCCCAAGGCGAGGAGATCCAGGCAGAGCCAGCTCCCCCAGCACAGGAGTACAGGGGTAAGGGGAGGGGACCCCCTGGAGGCCCGTCCTGCGGGGCAAGGAGGGGGTATGGGTGTGGGGCAGACAGGGGGCTGGGGAGGGAGATGAAGAAACTAGGCTCAAATGTGTCTGTCAGCCCATCTGTCCGTGTTTGTCTGTGTGTAAGACAGAGAGAGAGAGAAAACCAGAGTGTCCAGGGGCCGGTGTGGGGTGCTGGTGGTTGTGAGGCTGGGAGCTTAGATGACAGGGGCACTGATGGGGAGGCAGCTCTGCCCAAGGAGGCAGGGCTCAGAGACACACTGTGTGCTCCAAGGGCCCCATGTTCTGCCCCTGTCCACCTCTCACTGCGGGCACAGGCAGGCGTCAAAGGCCTGGAGCCCCTCCTCCTAAGAATGGCCTTCCGAGAAACTGCCCACACCCAGTGGTCAGGCAGAGGGAGAAAGGAGCTGGCCACTTCCCCAGACAAGTGAGGGGAGGACAGGCCTCAGAAAGTTAGTACTTCACAGTTTTAAAGAGAAAACTGAGGAGAAAAAGGCTGAGGAGGAGGCTGAGGGGCACAGGGACTTGGAGAGCGAGGGGGAGCCCCTCCTCTCCCTTGGGACCTGTCCCCCTCCAGCTCTGGATCTGACTCCCCGCAATACACAGCACAAATTCCTTCAGTATAAATGTGCTTAAAATGAAAATTCTTATTTAAAAAAATCAAAACAAAAAAAAATTAAAATAAAAACAAAACCAGCGAGAATTAATACCTGGGGGTTGGTATGGCAGGGTATATACAAGGGGAAGCTCCCCACCCCTGGCCCACCCCCTCTGTCACCAACCAAGGCAGGGGGGAGAGGGTCCCCAATTGGGGAGCAATGGCTTGTGAGTTCTGAGGACAGGGGAGCCAGGTCCTGGCATTTGCTGGTGATGAAGATGTGGCAAGGTGGGCAGAGGGGTGTCTTGAACACAAGGCCCCCAGGTGTCCCATCCCAAGGCCCAGGACCCAGGGTGCTCACTCAGTTCACTGCCTTGCCCCCTGACGTCAGCCCAGGCAGCAGGAACGCTCAGTCCATGGAGGGCCCAGGCCACTGTCTGAAGAGTTGCAGCCTCCTCCCACCCGCCATCCAGGGCAAGGTCCCAGTTCTGTCTGGGAGGACAGTGGAGGCAGGGCTGATGGGGTCACATGGTTGGTAGAAAGGCAGAGAAAAGCCGGGGCACGGGGCACAGGTGGTCACGGGGAGTGAGTGGTCGGACTACTTCTGTTGGAGCTGGGGCTGAGGCTGGGGCTGCAGCTGCCTGGAGGAGGGGCCAGGCTGCCCCCGTCCCGTCCCCTGCCCCCCTGCTGTCCACTCAGAGTGTCCAGGCCCTCTGAGTTCTCCAGCATTTCCTGGATGAGAGGTGGCATGGAGCCCGGGATCTCCATCTTCAGCGTGATCACTCGCTCAGCCCCTGCAGGAAAGGAAGGGGCAGAGATCA